GGTTTAGGGTTTAGGGCCCCAGGCTGTTCCTAACCTATAGGATTTTCACACGCGTAGCGGTGAGAAAAGCAGCGCGCAAAGATCAACAAACCTGTAACCCCTACAGCCTAAACCCTAAACCCCTACACCCTAAACCCTGAACCTGTTAACCCGACGGCAGCCTCCTTTCTGAAACACGAAAATCAAAGTGGTAATATAGGGACCTGAATAATTACCTATATATTTTGGGGGGCTCCTTATAATAATTTCAGTATAATATCCCCCCCCCCCCCCCAAAAAAAACATATCCTAGTTACAAAGGCCCCTACATTAACCCTAAAGCCATCCGCAGGCCGATACCAAGGCTTCCGATGCCCGGCTCTTGGAGTTGCGCGTGTCTGGTCTCTGAGGGTAATGTAGGGGCCGCAATAATTACCTTAAACCCTAAACCCTAAACCCTAAACCGGTTTAGGGTTTAGGGGTTCAGGGTTTAGGGTTTATTTGGTTCCTTGTTATAACTGTGCTATAATGGGCCCCAAAGGTTGCGAGGTTCAAGGCTTTAACATAGGGGCCTTAATAAGAATAGGGTTGCGGGGCCCAATATGCTATAACTATAATAAGGACCCCCCAGAATAGTATTGGCAATTATTTAGGCCCCTACATTAGGGTTTCAGGCAAATGGTTGTCAGGGCTTTATCTTGGGCTGATCGCGCTTTGCAGAGGGTTCGTTACAGGGTTTTGCAAGGGCTTTGAACGGGTTTCTAACGGCTGTACACCGCTGTACCCGGTTTTACATGGTTTCGGAAGTTTTGTGGTGAGAACGGATGTTCGCAAGCTTCAAGACTTGTCACTCACGCACTTTAGGCTTCCTGGTTCCCAGCGGCATCCTTTTCCCTCCCTTTTTCGCTTCATTTCTCGGTTTTTTCTCCAGACATACCACAAAATAAATTGATTCAGGTTAGTTACACGTTACACAATTCCATCAAGTCTATCTATTAAGGCCCCTGTTTAACCAAACACCGAAAAGTTTACAGACCTGCAAAATGCCTCAAACCACTCGAGCCCGAAATCTACAACAACCCTAAACCTCAGTTCTTAAACCCTAAACCCAAAACCCTCACCCTAAACCCTAAGCCCTTGATGAGAGGCCCAGTTAGCCCTGGCGGCCCCTAAACCCTACCGGACCTAAACCATAAACCCTACGCAGCTTTCAACCTCCCCGAGAAACTTTGGGGTTTTGGGGTTTTGGTGGTTTAGGGTTTAGGGTTTAGGGGGGTTGAGGGTTGGGGTTTTGGGTTGAGGGTAGTTTACACCTCTAAACCCTACAAAACTATTGATAAACCACCAGTTTAGCTTGAAGAGCATAAGATCCTAATCCCAGAACGCTACACCCTAAATTTCCACAGCCCTGCCGTAGAGTAATTATTAAGCCCGTGACTCAGAACAACATCGCTGTAACTTTAAAGCCCTGGAATAAAAGACCCGGATGCAGCCCAGGTATTGTAGAAGCCTGTACAAATAGCACGATTTTAGATGAATTAGCGCAACTATGGTATGATAGGCCTCAAAGCCCCATTCTAAACCCTTATTAAGGCCTCTACAGTACATACCCATAGCCGCATCGAGGATCATCCCAGGAGGGGCTTCTGCGGCATTTGGAGCCACGACATGCCCCTGGGCTTAAAACTTGGATTCTCGGGTCTACAAGCAACACTACAGGGAATAACTGCCAGATAGGGCCCGACCCAGATATATATATATATAGATATATACATATATATGTGTATATATATATACACCTACCTATATGTAAGTGTATTTTGACATATATGTATGCACGCGAGAGATTTCAAAGAGACCGATTTGCAGGGTTTATTGATCTCAGCACTTGGCATTGTCTGTGCAAAGGCCAACAGCCCGAATTCCAAAAGCTGGCGGCTCAAGAAGTAGTCTCTCACTGCAGCACCAGCTGTTGGGAGAATGATCGAGTTGTATTTCTTCACAGACCGGGCAACCACGAAAGACGTGGTACTTTTGCCCGCGCTCTGCCACGATGTGGCTCTTTTCTCCATAGCTTTACAGCTCTTGCTCCTTGTGCTGATCCTCTGCTATGTTTTTTTCAAGGCTCTGGCCGAGCGCCTGGCCAACCTCTCACGCGCAAGGAGCGCTGCAGCAGAGGAGGCCGCAGACGAGCAGGCCCCAAAGTTCAGGATTGAGCTGCAGCCGCCATGCAAATGCTTGCGGTTCGCAGTGAAGTGGGATCCCGATGTGAGAAACATGATCAATTGTCTCAAAGAGGAGGGTGAGGAAGCCCTCGCTCCATTCTTCGAAAGTGAGGTCTTTGTTTGGAAGCTGCGCAAGTACGTTCGCAACATGGTCTCAAGCGCCGACCGATTGAACCTCAAGAGAGATGTGATCCAGCGCCGGCAGCAGCGTGAGCTGAACGAAAGAACTGCCCAGAAGACAGCTGAGCAGGAGATGCAAGACCGGCAAGCTTTGTTGGAGCTCTTCGGCCAAGTGGACAAACCAGTGGCTGCTGCTCAGGCACCATTGGTACAAGAGCAGGCGCCTGTGGTAAAGCCTTCGGAGAAGCCGGCAGCTTCTATTGAGGTGCCAGTTGCGGAAGGAGAGGAAGACGCGCCGGATCCATTCCTCAAGATGCTGGCTGCGACTTCGCAAAAGAAGCCAACAGACCCCCAGATGTCGCCAGAAGATGCTGCTGCCCTGGCTTCCATGATGGCAGAGGGGCCTACAAGCGGCTTGACAGAAGCACGGCAACCAGCTCAACCAATGGACGGAGAAGTGCCGGAGGCCTTTGGGCACGCGCTCATTGAAACTTCCCAGATGAAGCCGGTCGAAGCTCAAATGTCCCCGGAGGATGTTGCAGCGATGGCATCGATGATGGCGGAGCAGCCTCCCAGCAGCACAAATGAAGCACCTCAATCTGAGCAATCCGTGGCTGGAGAGTCACCGGATGCCTTTATGACAATGCTCATGGAGACCTCGCGGAAGAAGCTGGTGGACACGCAGATGTCACCGGAAGATGCGGCAGCAATGGCAGACATGATGGCGGCAGAGCCGCCCTTGAAAGCAGAGGCACCGGATGTCCATCCAACCCTCAATGAGATCTCGGAGAAGAAGCCGATTGATGCTCAGTTGTCACAGGAGGATGCTGCCGCCCTGGCCTGTCTGATGGCAGAGGAGCCTGCCAGCAACTCCACCGAAACTCCACAGGCAGAAGTGCCCTCGGCAGAAGAGTCCGCATGCGACACAGATGGCTGGGACTGTGAGGACTTCTGGGCACTTATCGATTCCACCCTGCCACCGGAAGAGGCAGCAGCGCAGCTCTTCACAGCAATGGGAATCTCGCAAGACCTAGCATTCGTTACCAGCTCCCTCACCCGTGCTCCTGTCGTCGCGTCCACCAATAGCATGAAGAGCGAGGACCCTTTCGAGGGCTTTTGGGACAGTTTGGATGACAACATGTCGCCAGAACTGGTGGCAGCTAAGCTCGTGAACACGGCCCAGTTCATCAAGGCCTACTGAGTGATGCAAGTCGTGCAAGTGCCAAAGAGCACTCAACAAGCACTCCACAACGTGCGTGTAGAGCCGTCCACGGTTAGGAAGCAAACGCTATTGGTCACTAGTTGTCTTAAGCAGTTCGAAACAATTAATAAAGTAGCTAGGGCTTCAATCCTGAATGATTTAAGGCCTGGTTCCGCTACTATAACTTATATGGAGTGTTTATGCGACTTGATTGCCGGGCTTGGTTGGCGCATTCTTTATTGGTTCAAGTTCACTGTGCAAGTGTCTGCTGTATGGTGTTGGATGGCGTTTGTGCTTCAGGTGTCTGAGAGCTCACTAGTTACACAATTTCCGAATTCTGAGATCTTACCTGAAGCCTCGCCGTCCTCCTGCCGTTTGACGGTTCGTCAGACGCAAACCTTGCAGCCTTATCATCTTTAAGAGATGGACATCTTTAACCAGACAGTCTGCTTCGCACCGGAGCCAAAACAGCCCGACTGTGCACGCAGATCTCTTACATTCCAAGCGTTTCTGCTGTTCAACGCTACACCCGGCTCAGGGAAGTGCCCATGAAGAACGTTGTGATCCGCAGCTTGGAGGCCAGGGTTGTTCGTGGGCTTGTTATTTCAGCGAACTCTAGTATGTTATAGAGTTATAGTAGATTTGTTCGCACATGTTGTGCATTAAAGTCTGGTTCAGGGCGTAATATAGAACCCTAAACAATCACCTATACTATTCTGGGGGGGGGGGGCTCCTTATTACAACTTTAGTATAATATATCCCAAAACCCTATTCTAATCATTAAGGCCGCTACATTAGCTGCGCGGTTGTGGTATGCCGATTGCTTTGAGCTCCCTCACCAGAGATCCTCATCTTGACCCTCGTCTTAGCAAGCTTGTTTCGGCCCAAAACCCTATACTAATTATTAAGGCCCCTACATTAGACTGCTAAACCCTCATCCCCCGAGAGCCCCACAAGCGTCAGAGAACCCCTACGATGCCCTTAGGGCTAATATAAGGGCCTTGATAATTGGAATAGGGTTTGGGTGTCAATTCTACCAGAATAACAACAATAATACTAAGTTTAGACTTAGCAATAATAATAATGATAAGGAGCCTCCAAAATAGTATTGGTAATTCGTGTGGTTTTCTCACTTGTTGTGTGCAATGAAAACGTTCTTTTATTCTTGTTGTCTGTCGGAGAAGTGTTTTGCCTTGGATTTCTTCGCTTAAAGCCCCCCGAAGCGATTGCGCGTGGAATTCCGTGTGTGGAGAAGCAGGGCTGTTTATTTTGTGATTTAGGCCCCTACATTAGCCTCTTGAAACCAGAACCTTAATCCGAATCCGAACTTTATAGATGCTCTATTAACGCCCTAACCCCTCAACCCTGGACCCTAAACCCGAACCCTAACCGTAAACCCGAACCCTTAAAACCCGAAACCCTACTGCCCGCAACCCTAAACACTAAACCCGAAACCCTAAACCCTAAACCCATGCAGTTGGATTGCAGGACTTGGGAGGAAAAGCGCCGGTCTCCGCCGTGCAAGCAGACGAGCTGAAGAGCAAAGAGCAGGCTAAGAGGGTTCCTTAGGGGTTTTTAGGGCTTAGGGTTTAGGGCTCAGGGTTTACGTCTCTCGGCTGTTCCCTGGCCTCTTCTGGTGTAGGCTTTCGGGTTTAGGGTTTACGGTTTAGGGTTTACGGCTTAGCGTAGGGTTTAGGATTTTGTGGTTCCTGTAACCCAGACCCCCAAAAAGGAGATCCCTTAATGGGGGTTCCTGAAAAGAGCCTTTACTATTATAGGATCCCAAATTTGGGGTTCTACTTTCTAGATGCTTCCGGGGGTCTGGGAAGAGGAGCATTTTGGATTTTCTGCTTTGTGAGGGCTCAAACTCATGGTTTCTGGAGGTGTGTACATGTTCCCGAGCACTTTGACCCTGCCTCAGGGTTATACATTTTTGTCATAGGGTTAGGGTTTAGGGTTTAGGGGTTCAGGGTTTAGGTTTTTGGGTTTAGGGTGAAAAACCCCGCCCTAGAAGGCCAGCCCCAGCACCATAAACCTGACGCGCCACTCGGAGCGACGCCCCAACTAGCCCCACTCTTTTCCGGACTCTTCAACTTGTGCGGGGACACCCTAATTAGGGTTTAGGGCTTAGAGTTTAGGGTTTAGGGCTTAAGCCCTAAACCCTGAACCCTCAGCCCCAGAGACCCTCAACCCTAAACCCGGGACCATTGAAATTTGTCACCCAGGCCTAGAAATTCTCAGCCTCAAGCCAAAGCTGTGAGTCCTAAACAGTGCTAAGGACCACTCGAAAAGTCCCAAGCAATCATGTCTTTGCCCACCCTTTATAAATCCTAAACCCTAACCTTTTTCTAGTCACAAGCCGCCCTGCACAGGAGGCGCACGAGGCACAAGAGCCATCCCGGCTGAAGTTGAAGATATGCTTGACCGGGGTTGAGGGTCAGGGCCGAGGCTTGTTATCTAGGGGGTTGCAGGTGGTTTGGGTTTAGGGCTTAGTGGGGCTCGGAATAACTTCCAACACTGTTCCTTAGGGTTCCGGAGTTTGATACGACTAACTATACTATAACATACCCAACTCGACCTACGAATGAGACAGAGCCCTACATCTCAGTCGGGCTATCCTGAACCCCGAAACCCCCGAAGCCCAGACCAATGCGCCAATGGGGTATTAACCATCCGAAACCCCACACTGCAAACCTTGCTTCAACCCTCAACAGCATCTGTTTGGGTACACCAAACCAAACATGTACTTTTGAATCCCATTTCCATGCGAGCGATGCGTTAATCCGACGACCTAGGCCCTTACTAGTAGGGGCCGAAATAATTACCAATACTATTTTGGTGGTTCCTTAATATAATTATAGTATAACAGGAGCCCGAAAACCCTATTCGAATGATTAAGTCCCCTATATTGCATATTCAAACCCCCTAAACCCCTAAACCCTCAATTCCTAAGACCTAGGCCTTTACCCCTAAACCCTAAAACCTTGACCCTAAACCCTAAACCATTAAAAAAAACTTAAAACCTTGAGATGCCTACATGTGAATCTCTCAATCCGCGAACCATGTAGGCCAAACCCTAAACCACTGGCAGGAGTGCAGTTACTTTAGGAGCCTACCTAATGACCACTACTATTTTTGGGGTTCCTTTTTTTTATAGTTCTAGTATAGACAAACCCCCAAGCCCATTCGAATTCTTAAGGCGTCTACATTGCCCGGTTTGGTTCCGACTTCGGTCAATTTTACTTAGGCTTCTATCCAGGGATGATGGGTCTCAGGCCTATTATTTTACAAACACCAATCATAAATCCGTTTAGCCTCATCACTATAAATGTACAAGAAGCGTTGTGGTGGGATGGGACTTCAGCTGTCCTTTTTGAGTTGCTCATCGGGAGAAGTTGGGCCTAGCTGGGGGCTTTAACCCAGACCCCCAAAAGGATCTAAAAAATAGATCCCCTAAGGGGGTTCCTATAAAGTACCCTTTAGTAGTTAGGGACCCTCATTAGGGGATCTATTTTTTAGATCCTTTTGGGGGTCTGGGAAGCCACAAGCTCAGCACACCCTTAAGTTGTAAGGCATCTTACCTGGCCCAGGGCGAATGCTACTGACCTGCGATTACTTATCCGAGGCCGACTATCCTTGTGTTGTCGATGGCAGGTGGGGCAGCCGCCGAGTGCATAATAGTAGATCGTGTGGGTTTAGGGTTTAGGGGTTTAGGGTTTAGGGTCGTTTGCCTCGCCGAAGACAAGTGTCCCGGCCAAACCCGTACCGATGCGCTCGGATGTGCAAGCACAGCCCAAACCCCAACTAAATGTTTAGGCTTTAGGAGTGTTCAGGATTTAGGGTGTAGGGTTTAGCCCAAGGCAACGGCAATGGAGAACGAGTGACCTCTCTGGCATGGACCGGAGTGTCGCCCAGTTGGGCGCTCTTGACGGTTACCACTGTCGCAGAGCTTCTCGAGGGAACGCAGCTTACTGCGCAGCTGTCACAGGGCAGACGTGGCCGATGCTGAATTCCACATACGTCATCCACGTCACGATGTATTCTCAGCTCATGTATGGTGTGGTGCAGACCGGCGGCTTGCATACCAGTCAACAGAGGTCGATCACGTGCTCCAAACGGTCGTCAAGCTCGGCCAAGACGATGAAGTCTTCGGCCTGACCAGCCCCTAAAAGATGGTCAACAGCTCCGTGGATGCCCTAAAAGCCGCCGATGCCTATAACACTATAGGCCCCACCGCGACCCGCAAGCCGAACCCACCTGAACGCACCATACAAGCCCCTTCAACCCCAAAAAAGCAGACCATGCCCCCGGCCCGACCCGAAATCCGATGCCACCTAAACGCACCAATCCGAGACTTTTCCAATCGTTAAAAGAAGCAGCTCAATCCTCGAATATTGCTGAATAAAGCTGAAACCCGAAAGCCTTGAACACATTAGTCCGAAAGCGCTATGGCTTGTAATCTGGAGCAGAGACCAAAATCCGAGAATCCCTCGAGCCCTGTTTTTGAACTGTGGCCTTGTTCAAGGAGTATACATAAATTCAATCAGAACTTGGTTACTTTTATGGAACTTAGAGTAGCCATTGTGGAACTCCTTAGTTGGCCTCATAAAACTTGTTTTCACACTGAAAAGAACTTACTTTTTGACCCTTGAAGAACTCATAGTGGCCCTTCTAGACAAGATTGTAACTCTGAAAGAAACCCTGAAGCTACTAACCCTGGTTCCCCCTTATAGAACTCACCGCAACCCTAATTATAGAACGCTGAAGAGAATGCTTTGATCCTCCTTTTCTGCTTGGATTTCGTGGCAGATTGGCCAAGAAGCGGCTTGATGCGGCTGTCCTCATCCAGTGGCACCTTGGCTTCGACAGGGTAGGGGTAGGGTTTAGGGTTCAGGGTTTAGGGTTCAGGGTTTAGGGTGTTGTAGGGTGTAGAATTTAGGGCCTAGGGTAGGGTTTCGGGTTTTAAGGTTGAATTCCTGGGTTGAAAGTTGTGTACGGCTTGCATAAGCTTAGGGGTTCTGCAGAGTATTACATGGTGCAGGGTTCAGTCTCGCGGAGGTGGGGTTCGAGTATACCCTAAACCCGAAACCCTACACCCTAAACCCTACACCCTAGTATAGCCCTGGAAAACAGCCAAGGGCCAGGATGCCAGATTCCCTGACATGATTGTCTCGTTTCTGCGAATCGTGCTGAGCCCTGCGCCGCAGACTCTGGGTAGCTAGAGCTAACAGTGGCAAACCTGAAACAAGGAATCCAATTCGCAAAGCCCCGTGCCGCCCCGAGGCTTGTGCGCCGGAAGCTAAAACAGCGCCACGAGCGCTGCTGGGCGCAACCACTGATTTCCGGGTTTAGCACAGGGTTTAGGGTTCAGGGTTTCGGGTCTTGGGCTACTGGGTTCAGGAGTTGGGGCTTAGTGTTTAGGCTTTACAGTATGGGTTGAGCGCCCGGGATTTGGGGTTGCGGGTTTGCCGTAAACGTTTGGGGTATATTATACTATATATAATTATAATAAGGCACCACCGAAACCCTATTCTAAGTCTTAAGGCCCCTACATTATGGTTTCGGCCGTGCAGGTCTTGGATCTGGAGGTTTGGATGAATTTCGGCCTAGGGTTCGCCGGTTTGCCGGGTCGTTGGACATCTTTGGACGTTTTGCCCCTAAACCCTAAACCCCCAACCCCTAAACCCTAAACCCTAAACCCCTAAACCCCTAAACCCTAAGCCTTATTCGTGAGGGCCGAGGGTGTACCGTAGGCGCTTGACAACCTCGGGCCCTCAAGCCCAAACTCTATTTGAGAATTTTTTGGTCCGAAAAAAAGGCCAATGTAGTCCCAAAGCCAGTTTACCCTAAGGCTCAAACTAGCCCGAAAGCCTTATCTAGTATGGTCTTTGGGCCCCAAAAGCCTTAAATATGTGGGTCCTTAGAGCCTCAGGGGTTTGGGTTTAGGGTATCGGGGTTGCCCAAAGCCTAAAGTGCTTGCCATCTTCAAGCCGTGGAGCTCCCGGGGGAAGACAGTCAGTGAAATTTGCAAGTGGCTTTGCCCTCCGCAACATTGCCGCAGTATCGCGATCTGATGCCTGCTCAGGGCATGTCGTGTTCGTGATGATGATGATGATGATGATGATGGTGGATCAAGACGAAGATTACTAAGAAGACTATGATGCACCTTAGCCCTAGGCCCCTTAGCCCTGAACCGTAAACAGAACCCTAAGCCCTCACCCCCTAAAATTCTGAAACCTCAACCCACAACCCCAAAACCCTTGAATCTAAACCCTAAACCCTCACGCTTCCAAAGCCTTAAAGCGTTGGTCCAAGGCATGAAGCCATACCTGGACTTCTCAGATGCCTGGGCCCTGTGCCGATGGTCGGTTTTGGGGTAGGGGTGTGTAGGATCGAAGGGCTACTACCTTAAGAGTTTCCAAAAGGGTTCTATAAGATTTCTACGATGATTCCACGAGCTTCGACAAGGGTTTTTTACGGCTCTATATTATCGCTGTAGGGCAAAGGGTTCTTCCAGGCTTCTATACAGGTTCTATAGCTATGAGGGTTCAGGGTTACCAAAAATCAAGGTTCCCTAAGGGTTCAAGACGGTTCTGTAAGTTTTCTTTGCGGGTTCTATAACTATGATTATGAGGGTTTAAAGGTTGCCGAGAGGGTTCTACGAGGGTTCCAATTATGAGGATGAAGGGTTAGCAGGGTTCTAGCTGATTTATTACGTGTTCCATCAGCGTTTATACCGGTTCCACAACTATGAGGGCTCAGGCTTACCAAAAGGGTGCTACAGTGGCTCTATACGATTTCTACCAGAGCTTCACAAAGATTCTGATAGCTATGAAGGTTCAGGGGCTGCCAAAAGAGTTAGGAACTAGGGACATGTTTAGGGGATGACTAGGTCGTATACCCCTCTTGGAAACCCCCCCAAACCCTAAACCCTCCCTGCCCTAGTACGGTTCTACAGCATTCGGGGGGGGCGGGGGTTAGGGCTTTGTGGCTCTTGGCAAAGTTGGGGCTCAGGCCACATTGTTGAGGGAAGGAAGCTGGGGTTTATGAAGATGTGGCAGCAGGAGTAGCAGCAGCACTAGTAGTAGTAGATCCCCGAGTAACTACCCCCTGCCTGATTACGCACGAATGGTGATTATGAGGCGGAATGATAGCGACTATTGGCAAGCTTGACATGGAAAAGGACAGAATACAAAAAGAAAAGGAAGCATGCGGTACAGGGCAGAACCCCAACCAACCCCAACCTAAACCTTAAACCCTAAACCTCATAGACGAGCTTTCAAGGATCCAGAAGTGATGAGTCAAGTGCGTCGGCGGACTTTAGCAGCTGCTTGGAACGCGTTCAAGAGTCTGGATACTTGAGATTGCATGTACAGGTCTCAATGAATAGTGGGTTTAGGGTTTAGGGTTTAGGGTTTAGGGGTTTAGGGTTTAGGGTTTAGGGTTTAGGGTTTAGGGTTTAGGGGTTTAGGGTTTAGGGGTTTAGGGGTTTAGGGTTTCATACTCAGAGCTTCAGGAATGAAAATGCTCAGTTGTACTTACGGCTTTATGCTCAGAGCTTCAGGGTTTTATGTGGGTTGAGGGTCAGTGAGTCAGAGTCAAAAATTAATATATATATATAGATATAGATATAGATATAGATATAGATATAGATATAGATATATATATATATATATACATATATATATATATAGAGAGAGAGAGAGTTATAGTATAGTGTACCCCAAATCCTATTCCAACCATCTTTGGGTTGGGGATCTTGCGGCGGAGGCTTTGGGGTGAGGTCGGGCGAAGGTCTAGACCCTGAGTGGCAGCAACCGTTTCTTTAGGGTTGAGGGTTTTAGGGTTCAGGGCTGCTTAGGGCTTAGGTGTTCGGTTCTAATTCCCTACACCCCTAAAAGCCTAAACCCCAAAAAGGCTGCAGCCCGAAACCCGAAACGCTAAACCCCAAGCGTTCCATTTTGTGGGGGATGTCCGGCTTGTCAGTCTTCGTCTGATACCTTGGCAGGTTCGGAGTCTGAAGCCACCCCCAAGGACCCAGAGCCGCAAGGTTCAATAGTTCAGGCATGAGGAAACATAGAAGCCTGAATACTTACCAATATTACTCCTTAGGGCTATACACCCAAACCCTATTCTAACTGTGAAAAACTTTGCATTACGCTAGCATATAGCCCAAAGTTTTGGTTTTTGGGTGGCGCCTGGAATGTAAACATCTGCTGGCAAGCGAGGAGGGGTCGGTTCTCTGGTCAGCAATTCTGCTGAAAATGGGAACTGTTATGGACGTGATTCGGCCCAACCCAAACTCTCTAAACCCGAAGCCCTAAACCCTATGACCCCCCTAAATATAACGCGCCTAAACCTGAAGCCCTCAGCCCTAAAGCCAATAAATCCAAAGCCCTAAACCCAATAACCCTTACAAATCCCGAAGCCCTAAGCCCTAAACCCTATAAATCCTAAGCCCTCAACCCTGTAACTCCTAAGCCCTATAAGCCCTAAGCCCTAAGCCTTAAACCCTAAACCCAAAGTCCTAAACCCTATAAGCCCTATAAATCCCAAGCCCTAAGCCCTAAGCCCTAAACCCTATAAACCCTAAACCTTAGACCCTAAGCCCTAAACCCTATAAGCCCTATAAATCCTAAGCCCTAAGCCCTAAGCCCTAAGACCTAAACCCTATAAACCCTAAACCTTAGACCCTCAGCCCTAAACCCTATAAGGCCTATAAATCCCAAGCCCTAAGCCCTAAGCCCTAAACCCTATAAACCCTATAAACCCTAACCCTTAGACCCTAAGCCCTAAACCCTATAAGCCCTATAAATCCCAAGCCCTAAGCCCTAAGCCCTAAAACCTATAAACCCTAAACCTTAGACCCTAAGCCCTAAACCCTATAAGTCCTATAAATCCCAAGCCCTAAGCCCTAAGCCACCGGAGCTCAGAGGTCTGGATCTCGACTTTTTACACCATGCGGAGGTCCGGGGCCTTTTGGGCTCAGGAGTTGGGTTCAGGGTTTAGGGCCTAGGTTTAGGGCTAAGGGTTCAGGGTTCAGGGTTCAGGGCTTAGGGCCTAGGGTTTAGGGCTTAGGTTTAGGGCTCAGGGTTCAGGGTTTAGGGCTTAGGGTTTAGGACTCAGGGTTCAGGGTTAAGGGCTTAGGGTTCAGGGTTTAGGACTTAGGTTTAGGGCTTTGGGTTCAGGGTTTAGGGCTTAGGGTTCAGGGTTCAGGGTTAAGGGTTTAGGGCTTTGGGTTTAGGGCTTTGGGTTTAGGGCTTTGGGCTTAGGGTTTAGGGCTTAGGGTTTAGGGTTTTTGGGTTTTGGGCTTAGGCTCAGGATTTGGGGGACTTTCGAGGCTCAGTTTTTGGGGGGCTGTGTAGCGTTCAGGTCGAGGGCTCGGGGGTTGGCGCAGGGGGACTATGGCTTCAGGGTTTAGGGTTTGGGGCCGCTAGGCCAGTTAGGCCTAACCGTTAGGGCCGTTCAGGTTTTAGGGTTTAGGGTTTAGGGTTGAGCATTTGGGGTTCAGGGTCTATGGTTTTGGTTTTGTAATTTCGACTTTGGGATATAGGACCTATGTTCATGCAAAGCCTCCACCATGGACTGAGGCACAGCCGACATATGGACAGTTTCCTAAATTAGGGTCCCTTGTTAGGTCCCCAATATAGTACGGCACCCTTATGAAAACCCTAAACCCTAAAACCCTAAACCCTAAACCCTAAACCCTAAACCAAAGGACACCCAAAGGGACTGTAATTTAGAGAACTACCCATATGGTTTAGGGTAGTTGAGGATTTGGGGTTGCTGGTGTAGGCTTCTGGGATTCAGGTTTTCTGGCTCAGGGTAGGGTTTAGGGCTTAGGGCTTAGGGTTTAGGGCTTAGGGTTTAGGGTTTAGGGCTTTAGGGCTTTAGGGTTTAGGGTTTAGGGTTTAGGGTAGGTGTTGTGAAGTGCTGTTAGTGCATTTTGCAGGGTTTGGATTGGCGTATGATGGCCGATCAGGCCGCGGGTTCGTTTTGCAGCACTTCATGGACACGGGCTTAGGGTTTAGGGTTAAGGGCTTTAGGGTTTAGGGTTTAGGGTTTAGGGTTTAGGGTTTAGGGTTTAGGGTTTAGGGTTTAGGGTACCAGAAGAAGACTATATACTATAAACAAGAGGCCTTACTACAAGAAAAACAGCGCAAATTGCCAAACACCCAGCAGAACAAGGACCTCGCTTTAGTCTGCAGAGTCCCGATCGTGTTCGCGCATTGCTTCGCGGGTATAGGGTGGATTGTAGTACCTTCGGGCAAGCTTATTTCTTTTGTTCAGAGCCCTCGACATTACAAAAAGAGGGTGCTGCAATGCAGGGTCCCTGGCAGGGGGTTTAGAGTGGCAGGCAAAAGGGATGATCGGGGTACGAGAACAGGTAGCTATGTTCCTCGTCTGGTTTTATTCCGAATCTGCTGTTCGCATTCCGTCCCACCAAAGATCCCAACTAGCAGGATGTGCTCCATAAAAACCCCCTTGAAAGGACTTCTGGACTCGCAGAACCCCGCAAACCCGGCAAAGCCTGGCTCTTTAACAGCCCCCCCGTCCTCCTCCAACATCATGAGCGGGGGTGTACTGCGTGTTTCTGGGTTGGGGTTCATGCGGCGGTCCAGGATTCCAGAAACCCGACAGGCCACAGTGGATTTGTTCCGGGTTGTGGGTTGCAAACTGCGTATGGAGATTTGAATATTTTGCGAAATATTAAAAATAATGGTAATAGTAATCACAATAACAGTTTATAACAATACTAATAATGATACTACTATTAATAATATTAATAATCAGAATGATAATATCAATATCAGTAATGATAAAGATAACAATGACAACTCAAGCCTTAAGCCCCATTGCACAAGGCCTTAACCCTACTGAACCCTGCACCTGATACTTCGCCTGAACTCTGAAGTCCTTCACCCCTAAGTCCCAAAGGCTCCATGTACCTTTATAGTAGATACTTAGGCCTTAAAGGGGTCCTTACATAGGTACTTTAAGGCTTAAGTATCTACTATATGGGTACATGGAGCCTTAGGGAGTGTGAAGTCCCCAACCTGGAGAGGCCCTAAGCCCTTGCGGGTTGAAATGTTGGGATTTCGGGTTTTGTAGCCCTAAGCCCTAACCCCTGAACCCTAAACCCTAAGCCCTGAACCCTAAACCCTGAACTCTAAACCCTAAACCCTGAACCCTAAACCCTAAACCCAAGACCCTAGGCGTTTTGGCCGCAGGATTGGTAGTTTTCTCCTTCGGGGGATCCCTCTCCGCGGCCCTGACCCAGCGTGGCTGAGGAAGCCCGCGACTTTTTGCCACCACGGACCGCAAGAGCGCGTGGTTGGCCGACACGCCGAGCTCTCACTGTACGTTCGCGAGGTGATTGCTCGTTACTGCTCTGCCTTCGGGTCTGAGCCCTTTTCTCCCTCGCCCGACTTCGGTCGCTGGCAACTTTCTGCCCTGTACGCTTGCGAGGGGCTTTTTTTATATTCACTTGGCGAGCTCATCTGAATATTTATGCGTGTCTTCCTGGTTCCCTTCCTGCTCTCGTTGATCTCAGAGGAGGGAACTGGCAGTGGCCACGACGGCCAAAGGCAAACCAGAGGCGGCTGCACATCGGCGGCAAAGGAGGCTCCGTACGTGGGCCAGGACTTTCCTCCGAACCTGCAAGCCGGAAAGAACATCCTGGAGGGCGGCTTCGACGGCAATCTCAGTACTGGAAGGCCATCACTCCCGGTCGGTTTTGCCGCAAAGGATCCGACTACTATACGCCAGGAGTGGCGTCACCATGTCTGGACAAGGCCAAGCGTGGTGGTGCCATGCCTGCTCCCGTTGGTGCAAGGCCAAGGCAATGCACTGCGAGGGCTGTGGTGTGCGTTGGGATGCACAACACAGCCGGGGGCA